GAAAATGGTTATCTAAGGAAACAGCTGTGGTTAGCTTATGAAAGGAAATCAAAGTGGAGTCATTATGAACTCATTGTAAATGCTTTTATTAAATAAAGATGAAGATTAATGTCTTAATAACAAAGGAATCTGTCACTGATCCAACCTAGTGTAATTAGATTATTTGTGTAATCAGACTGTAGACAGTCAATGAGTACAAGTACTTGGGTCCCTGATAAAATGAATGTTGTAAGATCACTTATAAAAATGGGCAACAGAGACTATTTTTTTTTAAATCAGCTATTTCAAGGTAGACATGACCAATTTAACACTTTTTCTACACGTCATTTATAGAAAGGGTCTAAACGTACAGTACCGTCTCACTTGCTGGTTTTGCAACATCAATACCTTTAATTGTACTGTAATAATACTGTAATGTAATAAAAATGAGTGAAAATAAGTAGAGAAATCGTTGGGGCAAATTCAGTCAACTTAAATTTCTTCTACAAGCAAAAGGTTGGAAAGAAGGCCAAGAGCATTATGGAATGTGTGTCTCAACCCCTCCATTGTGAATTTACACTACACCTATCTGGGAGGCCTCTCTGTGTCCCCAGGTATAAAAGTAACAGATTCAGAAAATCTTTCATCCCTGCGGCAACATCCGTCTCAAACAATGTCAAGTTACTTTCTTACAGTATCTCCTGCTTAAAGATTTCCTGATAAAAAGAGACCATTGTACCAACATCTCTTCTAGAGATATTTGTCCTCCTTGTTTTTGTTGTTGTCTTATGGCACAGTCCACTACAAATTTTCCCCGAGGATAATAATGCTGGAATCGAACTGAACACTTCTGAATCAGAATCCCCCCAGAAAGGTGTGAGAATGTACAATTTTCAAACACTGAGGCAGGGAGCTATACCTTGCAGCAGGTGAGGCTTGTTCCGGACACACAGCACTGTCAGGAACTTCACTTCGTCAGTACCCCAGCGCGCTTCCCCTGCCTCGTAGATGTCCTGTCGGAGATGATCATGTCAAGCGACTGACAGAAACTGTAACCCGATGGACTCATACACTCAACTTCAAGCTGTTTTGATCAGGTGATCAGAAGAGACAAACAGTACATCTTGGCAATTGGGAATGAAGAAACAAACATTTTGGCTCCTGAGCTTAACTGAGAGGTGGGTCACTCATGTCCAAAGCAGGTTCAACAGCTTAAACAATGTTCCTCTTCTTTCTACTTTTCAATGTGGAATTAACCTCTACTTGCTCCTTTGCCGCCAACACACATTGACCCAGCTCCCCACTCAAACCTCATCAGTCTTTCTTGGTAATCTGCTTGGTTTTAAAGATTGATCTGCAAACCACCTTAAACTTTCTATAAGGAACAGACTCGCAGTCTGACAGATTGTTCAGTGCTGCCACAACTCATGGTATCGAGACACACTTCCTGTTTTCACTATAACACGATTCCAATCCATACCTTTCTCATCCCACTTCTGTCAGGACTGAATCTCTTAAGTCCTTCCCGAAATTGATTTGTCCCACGATAAATGATTTGTTTGTTTTGTATTTGTCTGTTCTCCAGTGTGAATTCCCATTGATCGGTCTGCACTCTGAAGCAGTGCATGGTTTTAATTCAGATTGGTTCCTGTGACAGTGCATTTACATCATGACCACGTCATTGGAATTAAAGGCACAGTTTTTCTTCCAGGAAGATGATTATGTAAATTGCCTACTTTAATCAATAAAAAACACTGCATCCTTTCCTACAGCATGAATTCTTCTTGCCAGCTTCCTCCCTTTAGCTGACTGATTAAATGGCTGATACCAAACACTCTTGAGGCTCAGACTGCACCACCCATCTTAGTCTATTCTATGCCAATTTTTTTTATTTTAATGGAATGGTTTAGTAGATTTATTGAACAATACTAATTAAAAAAAACTGACAGTCTCACCTTGGCATCCTGCACAGCCTGTGCCATGTCCACATTACTGCTCTCATCACGTCCAGCCTGCCAGAGAGAAGAGAAAGGTCATGTCGAGGTTTATAGAAAACAATTAAGATGTAG